GCATCTTATGAGAAAAAAAAAGGATCAAATCGTTTGATTTCTCATAAAGATGTAAATGAATCTTTTGTTTACTAGGTTTACAAAAGATTAGTGGGAGTTAATCATATTCCTAAATTTGAATATATATACATGATATATATTAATTTTGAAAATGAAAGGAATTCTTCATCGTTAAAGCTATGACTTTAAACATTCTATAATGATAGAATGTATATGGGAGACATAGTCTATATACATGGGATGGAAATCTATAATGATAGATTTCAAGATATAATTGGATTATATCAATCCCTAAAATAGACAAGAGATGCTAGGAAGTTTCTCATATGATGATAAACTTCAATTAGAATGACAATTCTAGTGAGACTAGGAAGTTGTTCTTCTCAAAGGGAATGTACCCTTTGACTCCCAAAGAAATAATGCGTAAATAGAATCCTTTATGCACACGCAGAAAGGTGATTTATGTATTTCATATTGTATGAAAACATTGATATAAGTTGTACCTAGAACGGTACAAGATGATATCAGTGCAAGCCCAGGATCAGAACCATGGCAACTGTCAAGTGAATCCTTAGGTATTTAAGAAATACTAAGGATGGATTCCTCAAGAATGAGGAAGAATTAGAGTAACGTAATGGAAGCGTAAATGTATTAGATTATGAATCTAATCCATCATAGAATATCTCTTCATTATGAATGAAGTGATAATGAGATATCTCTTTATTATGACTAGAGAGATATTTGGGTGGAAACGTTAAAAGTAATGACTTTAATGTGTTCCATCATGTATGCAAAATATATTGCCATATAGAAGCTTACAACATTGTTGTTTGGATGGGAAAGTTCATTTATGAACTCTCCATTCGGTTCCAACCAGAAAGTGTATGACACTAATGGGGCGATAGCTCAAGCCAGGGAATCAAGGTCTCATCAAGGTCCGAACTCAAATGAGAGACTGAACCACATGATTGAGAATCATGTATAATGGTGACGTCGTTATTCTCAAGGTTGCTTCTATGGTTAACATATAGATATCCATTGTCTAGGCCTACTACTCAGCCATTTATGAAATGACTACAGAAGAGGTATCATCACTGATGACTAAGCTGATTGGCTCTAGTGCAAGTGGGAGATTGTTGGAAATGTGCCCTAAAACCAATCATATGATGATACTTTATGGACATTTCACATGTTAAACTAATCTAGTTTAATATTAAGGGCAAACATTATTGTTTGAGCCGTCTCATATAAATGTTATATGCTTAAACGATAAGTCCAAGGAATATGTGATTGGGAGAATGCGATCTAAAGAAGTTAGATTCATGAGACCATTCTTTCGTAGACACATCCTAAACGTTCCTGATCATAGGATTGCCAATTGGGCATTGACAGTCCGTTAAGATCAGTACGTGCTGTGTCTTCTCTCAGGGAGAGTGACTAGTCTCGAGTCATTGGTGTAAATGACACCAAGACAAGCATGTAGGTGCTCAATAGAGAATAAGTTCACTGAACACGATCAACGAGGAGTTCTCATATTCATGTCACATGAGAACTCATGGTTGGGATAATGCAAAGTAGTCCTTTGACCTGAGGCATCACAGCTGTCTTGTGGTTAGGTACTTGATCTTTGATTATGTCAAAGTCACTCTATCAGGGTGTCCACGGCATCGTCGGGGTTAAGCCACTTAGCCATGGAGGCAAGTGAATGCGCAACAAGGGATCTCTAACCTTCAAACTGTTTGAGGGAGAATACTCTATGATATGATTTAGAATCTCTGGCCAGAGTATGAATGAGATGTTGGAATGCGTTCCAGATCACATTCAAGGTAATCATATAAGTACAAGATTCACATTGGATAGTAGACATGAATAAACTATCAAACCAAACAATGTGGTCAAGAGTATTGTATTAGAGAAAGACCGTATTGCATTTGTAATCCTAAAACTGAATAGGTTCTCCACCTCTTCTGATTAGCTTGGGTAACCATGACATGCTGCTAGGCGTCAACCATGGTTTGTGGAAGCCCTAAACGTGTATAATCACTAACGGGAGAATTGAAAGTAAGTTTCAATTCACAATCGATGAGAAAGAGTTTTTAATCGCCCACTGCCTCGCTAAAAGGAACCTAATGGATCGTTCACCGAGTAAGGTAGAGTTTGAAGAAACAACGGAGATGAGTAAGAATAATTAAATGGTTTAATTATTTATCTAAGGCTAGGATTAATTAATATGTTAATTAATCAAACGAATAAGTTCGTTAAAGACCTCGGGTTAGTTTTGGGCCGCAAGGCCCAATGTGATTTGAATGTCAAGCCCATTAACTCAAGTTGTATGACAACTTGAATAAACAAAGGGCTTGAAAGCCCAATAAACCCTATAGGCCGGCCATGTTAGAAGAATAGGGCTTTTTGTCCATTAGATCACTTATTTGAAGGGAGTATATAAAGGACTTTATAGCCTAAAATTCATTAATGGTTATTTTTGGGGAAAGGATGAGAACACAAGCTCTCCTTTCTCTCTAAAATTTCGGCCACCTTGGAGGGATCATCTAGCAATCAAACTCCTCCAAGGTCACTCATTTCTTCTTCATTATGCCTTGGTGATGAATCATTAGAGGTTCTCAATTTTGGGAACTTGGAGAAACTTTTTCATCCATCCAAATCCATGGATCTAAGATGCAAGGAATGAAGGCCCTCTCTTTGGGTGATTAGCCTTTGCTTATGCAAAGAGGAATCTATAAAGGTATTGATTTCTCAACTCACTTTGTTTTGAGTTGAGTCTTGGTTCACCTATCTACTAAGCTTTGAAGTTCATGGGTTAAGTTTTGTTTTTGAGTGCATATAAACATGATTCTGCCTTTTAATTGTTAATTGCATGTTGTTGATGTTGCTCAAATGTACTTGTTTTTCACAAATCTTCCTTCACCCAGCAACCAAACAAACAACAAACGAATCACACCCATTTCCCATCACTTTCTCAGTAACAATACAAACCACAAACCAATCCACGGAAACACGTAAAACGAAAAAGAATATCCATTAAACGAAAAATAATAAATTTGAGAAAACCCAATGGGCAATAGCTAAGCAAAGAAGTTGTAGCAGTCTACCAGTTAGAGGTAGGTGGTCTGAGCAAGAGGGACTGGAGAGAGAAAGAATCCAAGTCCCTATTAGAAGTGGGGGAGTAGGAAGGTATAACACCCAAAGGGAACCCATTTCCCAGAAGAGAGAGTTGCTGAATCCCAAGGGCTCGGCTGGGTCGAGCACCGTCGAGAGGAAATGGGTCGCCGGGAACGGCCTTGGCGGAGCCCTCAAAGGTCTGAGGCGAAGAAATGTTCAAGTCCCAGAAGGCCGAGTCCATTGTCGTCCTCAGGTTCGCCATTGTTGGCTGTTGAAAGAGTGAGGGAGCGCGAATTCTTTTTGGTTTCGGTTTTTGGGGTTTAAGTGGTGGGTTTCTGATGGTTTTATTTGTCTCTTCCTTTGGGTCCTTATCTGTCTTGAAATGAGTTTGAACATGGTGTATCCTCTTTATAGCGTTTCGTGCTAATGACATAATATTTTGTGGAGAAAAACTTATGAGTCACAAATGTTTCATTGGCTTGAGACTCTACCATGGTGATGTATCACTGTCATAGAAGTACTTTGCGAGAAAGAGATTGGTGGTTGAGAAATCCGCAAAATCCACCATGGTGTGAAAGGAGAAGGTCGTGATAGTGCTCATATGTTATGTTTCAATGAAGGATGGTACTAGTTTAAGGGAGGTGAATAGGTTCCAATTTAAAAATTTAATGTCAATTTCGATTCTCATATTAATTTTCACATCCGCATCATATGAAATATCTTACTGTTGACTCTAAAATTTACAAAACCTACGTGGCGCGCAGGCCGAGTAACTAATGAGCTAACTAACGTCCTTCGTCGAATGCGGGGCGTGCCAACTCGTCGGCCGAGCTCGGCCGAGGAGAAATTTGATGTATTCGCGTTGAGCGCGCTGTTGACTTCTGTATCTTGCGATTGCGACCGAGGAAGGAACGCTGTCGGTCTCTGGATTCTATAGCCTGAAGACAAGGCTACTAATTCTACGGAGTTCACAAATCGCCGAAGCCTGGTTCGGTCACCGTGATTATATTCGTGAGAGTATAAGCACGCCGAATCGAGACCAAACTATACGGGCACAAGTACTCGAATGTGATATACGTCTTGATAGTAAACGTAGTTCGGCCGTCGGAATGCCGAACCCTGAAACTTACTTGCGAGTATCCAATCATAAACTCACTCGGCGTCCAATACGCCGAGCAATGCAATTCGTAACACCCAACTATTCCGGAAAGGCTTAGTAGGATGACCTCTACCAACAAGAGTTCGAAAACCCTTCTCGGCCGAGACTTAGATAGATAATCGGTCGACCTCGACGCAGTGCTGTTTATCCAAACTGAAGGTGCTCCTCGGTCGGCTGATTCTGCGGCAGCAGTGCTGTTTATCCAAACTGAAGGTGCTCACCGGTTGCTTCCACAGTGCTGTTTATCCAAACTGAAGGTGTGTCGGCAGGAAAAGAAAAGGAAAAATCTCAAGGTGTTTGAGAGGTTTTGCGCAGGGCAATTGTATGCTGATGTTGAAGATCCTTTCTATTGCGTAATTTCTTGTATTTATAGCACCTCGCTCCTTGAATCCCATTCTGATTTGGATTGGGAGTCCTTGTCCCATTTCACCTTTAACTCGAACAATCCTAGTCCTACTGGGATTCTGAATTCTCCTCCTTTTGAGGCTTTATCCCTTGCCGGTCGAGAATCCTGGTCGCACCAGGATTTCCTCGACCTTTCCTCATTCATCTGGACTACTTAAGATAGGATCTGGCCGACCCTGCCAGCTGGTTCGGGTTTCATTATTTGGCCCATAGCATGTGTCATTACCTTGGGTTGAGCACATCTTGCTGCTCGGCCCAATCATAATATCTTGGGCCCAAACACTTACATAATAAACAAATAAAATGTACACGCAGACGTAGGAAAATCCTGGCACTCCCTCCCAAGTCAGGACAAATGAAATTAATCTTCTGATGATTTTTCTAGGGTTCCAAGGATTGAGAAAATTATGGGTTCTTGGAGGATTGGAGTGAGTGAATCTTCCCCTCCGCCTCTTCGCCTCATCTGGCAAAGCATCGTCCCATTTAGCTCTGTTGCTCACAATTACCAGAAAAATATTCGAAACCTAAAACCCTCAAATCAGCAAAGCGAATTCCCACACTTAAACTTCGAAACCAACAAATCGATTTCAAGTGTTAAGCGGCTAGGTTCTAGGTCTTCTAATTCCGGCGAGCTGTTTTCTTACGAACGCCAGCAAACCGTACCGTGTCGTCGTCTTGCCTTCGTCTTCCAGTTTCGAAATTTCAATTTAAGGTACGAGGGGTTTCAAATTCATTTATACAATATTTTTAGCAAACCAAGTGAGCTATCCATCGTTGAAGCAGAGTGGGTAGGATCTGTTGCTCCCTTCTCAAATTGTAATCACCGCCAATTTTCCCACTTTTACAAATTTATTTATACGAGAATTTTTTTAATTTTTGTCTCCTTTTTCTCTGTTTAGCGGTCGATGAAAGCAGAGTGGGTAAGATCAGTTGCTCTGAAGCCTCAACCTCCAAACGCTACCCCATCACTTTGCTTCCCGGCGATGGCATTGGCCTCAACCTCGCCCCCTCCATCGATCGTTTCTTTTAATTCTGCTTCCGTTTTCTTCCTTTTCTCAATTTTATTTCAGGTGCCTGAGAAACGGGGGGAAAATTAAAAGGAAAAGTCTTTTAATTTTCCCATATTTTCTTTGGGTTAATGTTTGACAATTTGAGCTGCCCTGTGTGTTGTATAATCGAGAAATTTTGTTGGGAAATTAGTAATTATATAACATTTGGATATTTGTATAACTGAATATGTTCACATAAACTAGAGATTGATTTTAAGTATGAAGAAGTACCTATTGGTGGAGCTGGCTTAGATTTGACTGGAGTGCCATTACCTGATGAGACCCTTTTGTCAGCTAAGCAATCGACGCAATTATTCTTCTCGAAGCAGTTGGGCGTAGGTCATGATTGTACTTCTCAATCCGTTTTATTTCTTAATGATTATCCTTTTCAAGTGATATAATTTAGTTAATTCGATTATGGTTTTTGTTTCAAATTTTGGCTTCAATCTCCTTACTTTGATTCTAATGAATGAAGCGAATTGTTCTCAAAATTTCAAGTTTTTCATGAATATGTTGCATTTCTTTAAAGCATGATTTGATTTTTTATTGTAATTTCAACATTTTGGATCTCTGTATGCCTTTTTATTATATTATTGCTCATTGGATCGGATTGATTTGGTGTGCAGAATTTGAAATTTGTTGAGGGGGCCTAATGTTACCATTGATGAAGTCTGCGCTTTTGGAAGGTAAGTAGTGATATTTAATTATTGTTTATTGCATTTTGTCAAATTTTATGGGAAATTTTCTGAATTAGGTGTGTGCTTGATCCGAAAAAGTCTCAGAACATTGCAATTCTTGCTTATTGCATTGTGTCCAATTTGGAAGGTAAGTTGTGATTCTGTAAGGATGTATTGAAGGACCATTTGTTTACTTCGTTAGTGGAATTTCGTTATTTATGTATTTCCGATATACTTGGTACATTGATAATTAAGGTTTAAATGTCATAAGGTTCCCTTGGTTTATGATTGACAAATAAGAAGGAATTGAAGAAGTGGGTTTAGCCTTTTAGGTTAGTGGGGAGAACGGTTACAGAATTGTACTTGTTGTTATTGCAGGGAAATGAAACATAATTGCCGCTTCTGCAAAATTATCGAGTGGTAGCAAATTTGCAGATTCCCTATTCAATTGAAGTAATTTGTTTCGAATTTTATTTGTCTTCCTGTAATTTTCTGAAAAAAGGGATTGTTTTGTTGCAAAAAGCAAGGCTATGCTCCCATTTCTTCAAGACTTGAAGTTTTCTATATTCCCTGGCTTTATCTTCGAATTCAGGTATTTTGTTATTTGATTGCGTTGTATTTCTTGATTTGAATGAAATGGATGCATCTAGTCCCGCAATTAAACATGAATTCCATGGAGTCCCGTAAACTTAATCATAATTGGTAATTTTGATTAATTTTTTAAAATTTTGACTGATCAAAACAGTTTCAATATACTTATTGTAAGTGCTATGGATAGTTGGTTTGATGTAGTTTATCGCTACTCCAATGACTACAAAACACTCAAGTAACATGTACAAATTTCTTCTGATTTCACAATTTCCATGAATAATTCATGCCTTTTGTTATGTTTACTTGATTTCTAGTATCATCATGTTACTCGTCAAATTGTTAATTATGTGTTTTTCCACATCTAATTTCTAAAAATGACTTCCATCCGTTCAGAAATAAAAAATAAAAATAAATAAATGATTTCCATTTTGCACAAAATAAAATATAAGTTTCCCGAATGAGATTGTAAATTTGGCTAGCTTGGAGGTTTTGGGGATGCTGAGAACCAATTATCAGGTCACATTCCCCCGGGTGTAGGAAAGGTTCACAAGTTATATCTATTAAATGTGAGTAGGAACTCTCTCTTTGGCAATCTTACATCCTCTTTCGGAAATTTAAGCTTAGAAGGCAACAACTTCCAGGCAATATCCTGCCAAGTTTAATAGTGTGTCAGAATTTGAGGCTTTTATATCTTGGTGAGAACAGTTTTAGTGGTATCATATCGCAAGAAATCATTGGTCTGTTGAACTTGTATATATTTAGTTTACCTCAAGATCATTTTCTCGGCTCCCTACTAGAGAACGTAGGAATTTTAATAAATCTTGAGTATATAGATATCTTTGAAAACATGTTATTCAGTGAAATTCCAGCAAGTGTAGTTAGTTGTATAAAATTAGAGTACCTAGACATGCATGGAAATTTCTTCCATGGGACGATTCCATCAACTTTGAGTTCACTAAGAGTTCTTACAGAATTCTATCTTTCTGACAACTTGTCAGGAGCAATTCCAGAATTCTTAGAACGTTTGAATTTTTTGGAATCTCTGAATCTATCTTATAACAATTTTGAGGGCATGTTGCCGATCAAGGGAGTGTTCAAGAATGCAATGGCGACATCAGTTGAAGGAAATAGCAAGCTTTCTGGGGGCACATCTGAGTTTCATTTGCCAAAGTGCAACTCTCCAGCATCCAAAAAAAGGAAGGATTGAGCTTAACCATGAAATTGAATTGAGGCATTTAAAGTGATTTAGACAAACTTCCCCAGATGTGTCATACCAAAGTCTTCTAAGAGCAACAAATGGATTCTCCTCAACCAACTTGGTCGGTATGGGCAGTTTTGGGTCCGTTTATAAGGGAATACTTGAGCAAAGTTAAACTACAATTGCGATCAAGGTACTCAACCATGTTCATTTAGCAGGGCTTACAAAAGTTTTATTTATGAGTGCGAGGCTTTCCAAAATATTGGACAACGTAATCTTGTCAAGATAGTCTCAGCATGTTCTGGTTTTGATTATCGCGGTCACGACTTCAAGGCCTTAATTTATGAGTTCATGGCTAACAAGAGCTTGGAGGAATGGCTATATCCAATTCATACAATTGGTGAGACAAATGAGAGGCCAAGGAGCTTAACAATTTCTCAGAGTTTGAATATTGTTTTTGATGTTGATATGGCATTGGATTATCTCCATCGTCATTGTGAGACGCCAATAGTTCATTGCAACCTCAAACCTAGCAATATTCTTCTCAATGAGGATATGATTGCACATGTAGGTGACTTTGGGTTGGTGAGGTTCCTACCAAAAGTTGCTGAAACACTACGAAAAATATGGGATTTGGTGTACACAAATGAAGAGTTTGTGTCTTTGAGAACACTAATATGGTGGAACAGCGTCCATTCAATAAAGGATACAATGTATTGTACTCAGTGTAAAAAGAAATGGACACAAACACATTATTGGGCACGAAGCCATGCCAAGTAGTGCATATATATATATATATATAATTATTGGTCTGACAATTGTATGACAAAATATAGGCACAAAAACTTTTAGTGTCTATAAATAGACAGTAGCGCACAATTTGTTTGTGTCTGTGGAACATGCGAACATCTTTTTGCTGAATTGTGATGTTTCCATTTCTACTACTTGATCCTTCTTACAGCTGAGACATTGGATTTTGTTGTGTGTTCCATCTTGATTTTATGAAATTTTCTGATTTATTTCAAATTTTGACATTTTCATTTTCAAAATATAACCTATTGGGCACAATAACAAAAATTGGGCTAATATGGATGGGGAAAGTCATCTGATAACTTTTTCAGAACAGAGGCACAAAATTTTTTTATTTTTGCTTACCACTTTGAGCACAAAACACCATATTGTACTCTATGATCAAAGGGCACACCCATAAAAGCACATATAAATACCGAGTTACAAACCATAAGTGTTCTCACACTGGTGACTTAAGTATTTTGCAACAATGGCAGACGATCGATACTCGACAGTTGACCTACACAAAGTCTATAATGAGATTTTACTGAAGGCTTTCAGTGATGAAATGAGTAATCTCGAACCATTGATTGAGTGAGTTGAAAGAAATTCCAAAGTTGTTACTTGCACTTAAAAAAAAAAAAAAATCATTACGGACTACTTTAAGTGCTATTTCTTCGTATATTTAAACTCATCATTAGTGTTGGAAAATAACAGATATTGGATACACAAACTAGTGCTTGACTGATGCCAAGTCCCGTAGGACTTCTGAGTAAGCAATTTGGTAGGCTTGTAATAATTGGCAATGGAAAGCTATCTATGGGTCCGGATCTCTCTCACCAAATCCAGTGATCCGGGCCCTTGAAATTTGATCAAACAACTAAAAACAGGAGCCCCTTTAAAAGTTATAATAACTTTAACCGTTGGATCAAATTTTAAGGATCCGGTTCACTGAGTTTGGTGGACAGAGATCCGGAGAGGATCTCTTTCCCCATCTATGCATCCATTTTCCAACACTGAGAGACCATCAATAATTGACTGGACTAAATTATGCAGGAGAAATTTTCCAACACTAGCTAAAGTACTTGTAGGCCAGTGCTATGTATATTCCAAAAAGCAAGTTGAAAGCTGAAAACAGATGCATTTTAGCCAAACTAGTTCATCTGAAAATGATGATTTCATTTAATTTCTTGGGTTTTACATCATGATTTGATATAGCTTCTCATAGGTCAAGTATTACTGGCCTACTTTGCAAATTAATTAGTTGTGTAAGTCTTGATTACACGTTCAAAGCATGAATTCAAATCAACAATCTAATTTCACCACTACTTTAAATGGGGAATCGAACACGATTTATAACAGTGCCTCTTTGCCACCATCTATTGGCAATAAAATTTGACAATCCTTAGAAGAGAGATTTTTCCATGTACTTATAACACAAGTCAGTACATTACATGTCATAATAGAAGCAGGAAGAATGTTTTTTTTGAAGTATTCCTCTATTTATATTATGACACGTGATGTACCGGTTCATATTTTGTGTACACTAAAATATACATACGGATTAGGTTGGCGTGACCAAATATAGAGGGCTATGTTTGTGTGAAAGAGTATGCACTATTGCTCCAACTCTTGGAAACCTTTGCTGACCGTCATGTCAACTGACACATACTCCAAGTCTTTTGCCAACGTTCACTTTCAATAGTTCTGTTAGTGTTGGGCAATTCAACCATGCGTCAATGATTACGATAGTCTTAGGTGTGGATCCACCATCCAGCATGTTGTTCTGCGTGAGTCAACTTCCCTATTTATTATAGCTTTGTAATTTGGGGATTTCGTGTACCTAGATATGCTTATACTTGTACTTGACAGAAGAATACAACACAAAAATACAAACCCAAAAACTCTCATCAAGTTTTACACTTTTTAGTCGTCTGATTTTGATCCTCATTGGCCTCTTCGTAAGCAATGGTGTATTTGTTTTGAACACATTCACAAAAATGAAAACTAACGAAAAGTCTAAAAATATTTTAGTTTTAATGAAAAATGATAAATAAAGGTATAGTAAATAGTACCAGGGAAAGGTAAAAACATGATTTTTCGTTAAAAGTGAACAGTACCGGGAGTGTTTCATTTTTGACTTACTACGCATCTCACATATATCACGAACGAAATTTTGTTGCGGACAATTTTGCTAACATGGGCTTGTCTTCTCCACCTTTAACTTTGGAAAATGATAAAGTGTAACTTCTTTTTCGTTATCAATAAAATTTCCCTCGTACCGTCAAAAAAGAAAAAAAGTTTTACACTTTTATCTTGGTATCAGATTGGTCATTGTAACTCTTTTTATGCAGAATTATCAACAATTATTATTGGTGTAGAGTTTGCATATCAACAGGGATGGCATTGTCTTTGGTTGGAAAGTGACTGTTCTAGTGTTATTTTTGCTTTCCAATCGACTGCTTTTGACCCTCCTTGGCCTCTTCGTACGCAATGGTCTATTTGTTTAGATTGCATTCGAAAGATGACTTTCTACACCTCTCACATATATTTCGAAGGGAATGTTGTTGCATACAACTTTGCTAATATAGGTTCGTCTTCTCCAACTTTGGTATGGCATGATTCCCCTCTGCTGGTGGCTCGTACTGCTTTGTTTTCAAACTATGCTGGCTTTACTGGCTTCCGCTTCTCAAATGAATGTGCATCTCGACATATAGGTTTGTCTCACTTTCTTATTTTATTTTCTTAACCTGTGATCTAACTTAATTTGTTTTACACGTTTAGACTTTTAGGTTTGGCTATGGTTTTAGGCCCCCCCCCCCCCCCCAACTTCCCTTTTTTTCCTTGTATCATTATTGTTGAAGGGTAAAATATTATGTCCTCCTTCCTTTTCATGTGTTTTCAATCTTTTTTTTTTCTTCTTTTATTATGAAGGGTTAGGTTTACATCTATCTTGACAAGGTGGAACTTTTTTTATTATCAATAAAATTTCACTCGTACAACCAAGGTTTTCTATATAAAAAAAAATTAAAAAAAAAAAAGAAAAAAAAGGGTCACGGCTTGTCTCTTTTCCGGAAAAAAAAAAAAAAAA